TCAGTGTCACTTGATGTTTGAATATGTGATATGTTAGAATAACTAGTTTTTATCTTATTTAAATGATATGAAAATTTTTCGAATTAGTTTGTTGAAAACCTTCAATTCTTTAGTTCAAGCATCATTTCGATAGATAATGCATTTAATACTGATAAAGAATTTTTTATGAAAATAAAAGCTAGTACAAATTAATCTATGATATTATCAAGGATTGTAGTTCATCAATGGATATCTTTGTGTCTAATCATTATTTTTATTTTAATAGGTTGTAAGTGATATCGATATTAGGAATCGTTTTCTTTTTATTGATGAGAACTCATATGGGTGTGTGTTAGTATGGTTTAATTAAATCTATATCTTTCCTTGTTTTTAGAACCTATCAGAATAGATGAATATTCATTTTATAATACTACAAACTGATACGAGAACTATATTTGACTGGTCTTATTTTAGAAGATATACGATTAAACTAAAATATATTAATCAACACAATGGTTATTGATGATAGAACAAATGTTCGATATATTTTCTAGATCAAATGAAAATATATACTTTTACTCTCAAAAATTAACAGAATAATTCATTGAGTAAAATGGACCAATTCATCGAAGATTAATATAGTATATAAATGAATGTAACGTAACCTTTAAAATCAATTCATAATTAATTTGAATTCTTTCATTTCACGAAGTCATCGAGATTAGATAATTATTTGTTAATATAATATTAAGGTTTGTTCCAATATATTGAAATTTTGTTTTTTGTTATTATGTTTAAGTATTTACTTCTTCGAAATTGATTTGAATGAGTTTCTTCTTTATATAATAATAGAAATTTGAAGATACCTGATGAGTCCCTTGAGAAAGGACGAAACGCGTCGTGTCGATCTCGAATTTTCTTGAAAACTTTTAATTATAATTTTATTTTGAATAATTTTATAATTTCTTGAAGACATTAGAATTTGTTTTGAATTTTCGATTAAGAATAATTCAAGATAATTTTAAGCCATCTGATGAGACCCTTTAGCAAGGTGGAAACTAGTCATGGCAGCTTATTCACACCCACACACACCCATGTGAATAGGAAAATCTTTGATTTTTGTTCAAAAAATTTTCAGTTTTAAAGAATAGACATGGACTTGTATAATCGTTTATGTTTATAGTTAAGTTAATTCTATTTGGAAAATTTTAAATGTGCAAATGAAAAAATCTAATTGTTGTATTGAAAAGTAATTCGAATGTTATCCATAAGAATTAATTTTAGAATTACTATCTAAGTAGATACAATATTGAGAACACCACCTGATGAAGTGAAGCCAAGACAGAAACAACTGTTGTCGTGGTACGGCATTCTAATTTCTAAACACTACACCCACACCCACACCCTTACCAAAACAAAAGACACATTGTCATCGAATCATGGAAAACGAAATCTCTCGATAACAAAAGCGATTCACACTTCTGTATATGGATATTATCATTATATATTGGAGATTTTTGATTTTTGCCAAAACTTTTTATAATATATAATAGTACAGTTTAATCTTGCGATTTTTAAAAATATTTATAATTTATATTTATTTTTATTTTATCATATAGATTATTTGCCAACTGAAGAGTCCCTTTAGCAAGGTCGAAATCTAGATCATGGCAGCTTATTCACATACCCCTCGCTTTCCAAAAAACTTTTAATTCTATTATAAACTTGATTTTATTTATTTATTTAAAATTTTATTTATAACTGTGAATTTTATTTTTTCTATTTAGTTTGAATTTTATTATTTGAAACTAAAATAGATTAAGCCAACTGATGAGCCCTCTAGCAGGGATGAAACACGTCTTGGTAGCTAGTCACACCCAATTTTTATTTATCATGCTCATCATTTCCCAATTTCAATAGCTATTTTTCTCAATTCAATCATTTTTTTTAGTTCTTCGTCCATTTGTGTTATCATTCCAGAAATAGCTTCTGCAGTTGGATGATTATTTTTAATGCTGTTTATTAACGAGTAAACATCGTAGATTGCAAAAACTCCACTGAGCATTGCTGTACTTGATCTAATAACAGCCATGGCTCCAGTTTTTCCCACATTAAAACCAAAATAACCGAGTATTTTCATTAATGTTTCAGATTGCAGTCTCATACCCTTCCAAAAAGTACCTCCATTGCGTAAAAGCATGCTAGAGGTTCCACTCGCCAGTTGTGCACATTTGCTTAGCTGTAATATACTTGCAGCAGATGATCTGATACTATTAGCTTTTAAAACCAAGTTTTTTAGTGACAAAGCATAAGCTTCTGATTCTTCCACATTTAATCCTATTAGTTCCATGGCCACACGTTCAAGTTCATCAAAATGTTTCTTCAAACGAACGGCTACATCATTTCTCTGGCTGCAGATACTTTCGATTTGACTGTTTTCTATTTTTGTGGTTATTATATCAGTTATATCAGTTGTGAGATTTACGGCAGCTCCTGCTGTACTTGCTAAAAGGCCGTAACCACTTGCAGCTACGATTGAGGCACCACCTGTAAACACAATCAATTGGAAAACTTAAACATTCCATGTTTCTTTTATAAATTTTATTACCTGTGAAAGGAGCCAAAACAAGTGAACCTAAAAGAACAGCCCCGCCGCCTACTGATGCGGCAGTGCCCACTGTCTTAGCAACATTGCATCTTGCACGATGGTCATTAATCCAATCTAATTCCGTTTTTAATTTTTTAATGATTTGATTGGTTATTTTTACAAATTGGTCTAACGTAGCTAAAAAACTATCGTCACTCATTTGAATCGTATAAAATCTTAATGAGAAATTGATGTTTATATCTAGAAATAATGAAAATGTATTAAATTGGTTATGTTAAATGAGAACTACATCATATAATTTCTTTGCTGCCATTTTAATCAAAGCAGGCGTTTTTTCATTACCAATACACCAGTTACTTATCCCATGCTCGTATTATCGTAATTATTGCTCTATTATATACACAAAAATTGTTCTACAGATGAGATTTTTGCAATGGTGTTACATTTGTTCTACACAACATGCAATATTTTTGAGAAAAAAGTGTTACATTCGAAATACTGTCTACTAGTTGTTTATTGATATTTTATAAGTGGTTTATCGAGGGTGTGGGTGTTGTGTAGCTTTTATACAAAATTGCTTTTTGTCAGTAGCTATTCTTTCATTCTATCCATACATTTTTTTCTCTTTAATGAAAGAAAAGCCTAAAAGGTTGATATGCGCAATTCACTAGTTTTGATGATACATATAAATAAACTTTTGAAGTCTTAGCTGTGCTGCGCAACATGAAAGTCGCTGTATACACTTCATTTTTAGCTTCGGAATATTTATTAACAAAGAAATGTCCAGGAAAAATAAAAAGTTATTTTTCTCTCTCATCGTACACTCTAAAAAAATTGGGTATTTGTTACTATCGGAAACCTATAAAAGGGTTTTTAAATTGCTCGGAAATCATAAAAGAGTTTCCGATAGTAGCAAATACCCAATTTTTTTAGAGCATAGTGGGTTTTCATCCACAAACACACTAAGGAATAGGCATGCACCAAACACAAACTCAAGTCCTGAGAGTGAGTATAGCATACCAAGGCACAGATTTCGTTCCTGCTAAAGAACTCATCAGTTGACTATAACTCTATGATAATTATCCAAACGACCCGTACATCACAGACAAATTCTCATTATCTATACAATTCTAGAGCTAATGAGCCCTAAAATAATAGATATCTTTGAAATAGGGTGAGGGTCAGGGTCAGGGTCAGAATAGTTACCACAAGCTAGATTTCGCGGTGTGAGTGTTACATATATTAATTACCCACACCGACACCCCAATTTCCACATATTTAATCCATGAGATTAGAGCCCTTCAAGTCCAAGGCATATACAACTGGACTCGTAACATAATCCGGCTTATTGGACATTGTGGAGACGAAGACCAGATTATTAAAAACTGGTGGATCCGGCATAGCTATTCTAATTTTCACGAACTCGAGCTCGGGTACCACTGGTTAAGGTTCTTCTAACTCAAAATCGAACTATATTTTGAAAGATTTCACTAACATATATTTGTATTGCAATGTAATAGTCATTTCACATAAAGGTAGATCCTGTATGATATGACCCGGGCACAGTAAAACGTAAATTTCTGGACTCGGATCTGAATCCAGCCCCAGTCAAAAGTAATTGTATACAGCCAGAAATGGACCCACTGAATTGTAAAGTTTTAGACTCGGATCCTACCCAATGAGCCCTACGTGGAATTCTACTGAAAGACTAAAAGATGACACTTCATACGAAATCTGATTTATATTCAAAAACGTTATCCTACATTTTTTATACCTTTACCTGAAAGAAAAAAACAGATGTGATGAGATTTCGAAATAGTTGTTTCAGTGAAACATCTTTATTTTTAATTGTGAGTGGAAGCAAAACTAAAATCATTTTAACTGCTTGCGATCCCGATTTTATCCTGACAGAAGCATGAGATTTTATTGAGTGTCGCACAACTTTTACTCTACTAATTACAGCAGCTACCAGGACTTATCCTTTTGGGATTTATTTGGACTTTTTAATAAGTCCGTAAGTGTAGTGGGATAAATTCCACGCTCTGAGCGTGCGGGTGGGGAGAGAGTGAGGATGATGGTGAGGATGTTGATGTGGGTGTGGGTGTTGGAAAATAGCGTTAGAATAAAAAAGTTCCGTTGAAATAAATAAGTCCCATAGAAGAATAAATCCCGAAAAAATAAGTCCCGGTAACCCCTCACTAATTAAGATCTCTTTCCTACAGGCTTCAAACCGCCTCTCAACCGTTCTCTAGAAAACCTGAAAAAATAAGCCAGAGCGCTCTTAAAGAAGATGAATCAATTAGTAGTTCCTCACTTTGCTTATTTGTAAATCACTTGCTATTCTGCCTTGTTGACGTATGTGTTGTTGATAGTTTCTCTTGCCTACTAAATGGAAGTGTGCAGCATACACATCCCGTTTTATACACTGTAAAAGATAAGGGTTTATGATTTTACAAAGTATAATAAACTCTTTTTCTTGTTTTTGAAGCACTTACTATCCCGAATTTTTTTACATTGTACACGAAGTTGAATGAAAACTTTTTATCTTTGGTTATGAATTAGTAACAAGTAAGGTCATTACTCACGTCTGATAATTTTTCCTTTTCTTTCCTAGTGACAATCGTATTATTCATCTTAAAAGGACTTCTTTATTTTTTTCTAACTGATAACATCAATTTTTTTCAGTTGTATGTTGGAAGAAGCATTAAAATTTGTATTTTTCCTGGGAAAACTTGAAATTTTAATTTTAACTGGATTTTTTCAGGAAAAATTAAAATATCTTTTACCTTTGATAGAATCTATAGGTAACAGAACGAAACGAAAAATGCTGACTTGCATAACATCGCACACATCACTTAAGTAAATATTCTTGCATCCAACCTCAAGATGGCCATGGAACACTACTATAAGTTACTTCATGATCATATCCAATCTTTAAATTCCAAGTTTAGAGAGAAGTTTTCTATAAAACAACCATTATATGATGATATTATTCTGGTTCTCCGAGACGGTTGGGGAGATTCTCAGCTCAAATTTTGGGTGCATAAAAATTTTAAATTAGCCAAAAATGGTGACCAGGATTTGGTATATGAAATAAAATCTAATTGTCCCATTGTTACATACGAAAATATGTACATGAAGATCAAAGAATGCCATGAGAGAGTTACTCACCAAGGACGAGACCAAACATGGCTACAAGTATGCAATGTAAATGTTTGTAATCAAATAACATAGGGTATTTTGCAGGTGAAGGGTCGATATTCATGGATTCCAATTTATTGTGTAAAACTTTTTATTTCACAATGTAGTGAATGCTTTAACAAAAAGAGCTTTCTAAACCCGATAGCTGGTAGGTTGAGATTAACGTGAAAGCATCAATGAACTTAGTATTTTTATATTTAAGTAAAACCAGTCGTATCTATGGGATATTTGACTCGTCTTCAAATGGATTTTATAGATATGAGAAATGTTCAAGATGAAAAATATAAATGGATTCTTCACACAATGGATCATTTTACCAAATTCTCTTGGGCTTATTCACTAAAATCCAAAGAAGTTAAATCCGTTGCCGATAAACTTCTACAACAATTTTATTCATTTGGAGCACCACGTATTTTACAATCGGATAATGGGAAAGAATTTGTGGCTAAGGTTATTAAGGTATTCTCTCACCTTTTCTCCATTGACTGTACTATTCAATAGCGTCTTTTCGATTGAATAGGAATTAAAAACCAGTTGGATCGACCTCACTATTATTAACGGTCGGTCACAGAATTCTCAAACACACGCTTTCGTTGAACACAATAACCAAATACTTAAGTTAACTCTATATAAATGGATTCAATTGAATAACTGCAAAAATTGGTCTAAAGGTATACAGGCAAATCTAAAATAATCTGTTTGTTGTAAAGTTATAAAATTTAGGTTTGGCACAAGTCGTGTATTCGATTAACAGCAGCTCAACACAGTCTATCAAAATAACTCCTTATGAAAAAGTGTTTGGTCCGAAATCAAGCTATGACATCGACATGTGGCAAGTTTTATCGACACAAGATGTCGTCAATGAAGAGGATCTTCCACAAGATGTTATTGATAAACTAAAAGAATATGAAAATCAAACGAATGTTGTCGAAACTACAACGCTTTTGAATATCAAAAATTCATTGACTTCTCTGAGTTTAGTACCTCAAATATCATTAGATTTAACACTGCCTACAGTATTGTCATCAAAAATTCATATGTCTCATCAAATGAAAAACAAACAGAGAAGTGAACTTCTTGCCAACGAGCAAATTGAATCCAACGATACTGGTAAAAACATAGCTTCCAACTAAAACCTTTCATGACATTATTTCTTTAGAAAAAGAATCTAATAGTAGGAAAGCTTATTCAATGCGTAACAATCAACGACTACGATCTGAAACTGAAGCCATGGACATGACTATCACTTTCAAGCGAAGAAAATTATTCCACGATGCATTACATCAATATTAATATAAACTTCGTGACTAAGTTGATCTAAAAATTGACAGACTGGACATATTAAACTTTATACTTAAACTATTGCCATGTAAAATAATATCTGTGCATTCAAGACTGAACAATATGAATATATATCAGTTATGTACGACAATATATATAATCTCTTTAAGATTTCAAGCATTTGACCTATTGAATTTGCTCATTCTAATTTTTGAGATGTGTTTGATATCAACTAAAAAATTTTGCCAGCAATGACACGTAAATGGAAGTCTGTTTTGAGATGGAGTAAATATTTCAGATTTGTTATTATCGGAAAAGTTAAGAGGAATTCGAGTATGCTATTTTCGAGGATTGTAGTTCGTGAAGGGTTACGGTTGATGTATTCATTATTTTTATTTTAATAGGTTGAAAGTGATATCGATAATAGGATCCTTTTTCTTTTTATTGTAGGGAACTCGTATGGGACTGCTAGTATGACTTATTTAAATATATATTTTCTCTTGATAGTGGAATTGGTTAGAATAGACGAATTTTCATTTTCTAATACTGCAAACTAATATTAGAGGAATATCTGACTGCTCTTGTTTCGAAAGATATGGAAATAAGCTAAGATATCGAATATCTAAAAGAATTCAATATATACTATATCGATTAATTCATGGTTATATTCTTGAGAGAGGAACCAAATAATTCATGATTAAATATCAATGGTATTATTACTAAAAGTAATATTGAAATAAAACAGTATCCTATGAAAAATGTATTATAGTACTTTGAACTATTCAATAAGAAAATCCACTTTTGTATGCTCATTTATACATTGATTAAGCAAAAGCTAATTTTCCATAGAAAACTCCAATAATATTCTATTTGGAAACGTTGAATATATGCCATTAGGAAATCTTAAAATTAAGATATTGTCTGGAACTAATCAAAGCTCAATTTCGAAGAAGGATCTATTTATTTAAACTTTCAGTTTTGATTGAAATCACTTGTTTGTTTATCTTTTTCTACATCTTTCAATTGTACATTACCTTTGATAGTTTTCGATTTATATACCAGTAGATTGTAGACAAACCTAATGCAATACTTTATAAAGTGAAAATGTGATAAACAATTGTTTTGATCTCAGAATCTTTCAATAATAAACATTTAACAAACAACTTTCCAGTACAATACTATAGATTATCTTGCAGTCATATTTATTTTCTTGAAAAAATCCCACTAAAACGCCAATGAAACAAGGGCGAAGCGTCATGAGAATCTCTCAATCCACCATATAGCACAATAATGTAGCCTATATCACACTACCGTGAACTAAATTTATCATTATAGTTAGGGAATTTTGTAAAAAAATTTTCCCAATATTATAACAGTATAAATTAGAATAAATATTCTTGGTTCTTAAATATATTTATAAGCAATCATATTGATTTAATACCATCTGATGAGATCCTTAAGCAAGATCTATACGCGTCATGACTGCCTATATCCCACACCCTCAGGTATGGGGGTAGAGAAAGAAAGGGGGGTTGACGCACACCTACTCAAAGCGAAAATATCACTCAATTATATGCTTTCCTGATCGATAAAATTGAGCTCAAAATTTAGCAATTGGGACCCTGATGGCGGCGAA